ATATAGATACATATATATGTATACATACATATATATGTATATATATATCTATATATATATAATTTAAAAAACTGAAGAAAAAAGTGAAAAAAAGGAAAAGAGAAGAAAGAAGAAATAAAGAGAAAAAACCAGAAAAAAAAACAGCTGTTTGTATACATCTTATTATCACTGACACACGATGCAGGAAAATATAAAGCAAAAAATCAAACTCGCCACAACGTTTGAGTACCAGCTAGCCCTGTTCCTATACATGTATATGGAAATCATATTGTTCGTAATTTTGTTTGTGTAGGTAAGCTATAAGCGCCTAACTTGGTGCATGAGGAGAAGACATGCATCTTTCTTGCGCATGCAACAAGGAATTGAATGTAAACTTTTATGCAAGAGCACAAGGCCCATACATTCCTTTCTCAGTATGATGGTAGTAGAACACTCCGCCATGGTAACCAAGACACTTACCACATACACTTTCTAGAAATAGTGGGCAGACCCAGATCACCTAGCATTCCTGAAAATCCCTCTATGTGGTGGAAATGCTAGAAGAATATGAAATTTTTCAATAGCAAGACGAGAAATAAAATGATCTAAAGAAGGGTGTCCCGCGTGCGATGCGGGAGCGGAGCGACCGTTAGCTGGACCAAACCAGTTTAGAATTTTTCCCATCTGTGAGAGTTTGCAGGCCCTTCCTTTTGGGTTTGCCACCTCTTTGCAATAGTGGGGACACTTCTTAGTAACCTTAGGGCGATAAGTATCGTGTTTTCATGTTTTAGGTCAGGTTTCTTATTTTGTTTGTCAAGAAAGCCGTCGGCATCCTCAGTTTCCCCTTATAACTTTGTAACTAAGGTCGAGTGGTGCTCCGAATGTATCTTGTTTTGAGGTGAGGAATAGCTTCCAAGAGTCAAGTGGTGCTCCGGCTGTACTCTTTCTCGAGGTGGTATTTATCATCAATCTTTCTATCCTCCGCAACCTTTCCTCCACTGTCATCGTCGCCTAACCGTTGCAGCCGCCCTGGAGAACAGCACTGCAGCCCCGCACCTTCCTGTCACCCTTTCCAGCCCCTTGCCAACCTATTACAACCTCCTTGCCCTCCTCCCTCCTCGCTGCAGCCCCGAACAGCCCTTCCAAGCTGTTTTCTGCTGTCTCCCCTTGGCCATACCCATCCAACACCCTCGTGCACTTCTGCCGCTGCCTTCCTACACATCCAGACTGCTGCCACCTTCCAGCCACGCTTCCCCTGCAGCAGCCTCCCTAACCTGCGCCCATCAGCCCCCTGCAACAGCCTCCCTAACCTACGCCCATCTGCCACTAGTTTTCCCAACTAACGCCCACCTGCTTCCTTGTCATATCTTCCCAACCAGCCAGCCTAACTTCCACCCCCATTGTGATACATCTGTGTCGGTTATTGTTATTTCACTTTATTTCACTTTCAACGTATCATTTGTACTACCTATAAATTTTTCCATTAAGAAAATTTATTTGCTTGTCGTTGTTTGGGTTAACTCCAGTATCATAAACTTAAATAATTTTCTAAACCTAAACAAAACTAAAAAATAAACAGTAAAAGTAACATTACTAATCAGTCAAAATGAAAAATTAGTAATGTCAAAAAAAAATAAAAAAGACAAAATAAAACAACAAACTAAGCACTGAACTACATTTACAGGGGACATGAACTTAATTGGCTTGCCTAAGGGCAAAGTAAAAAACTTCTAGACTATACTCAAGATATTTTTGAATGCTCAAAACTTTTAAGAATACACTCAATAACCTGAACATAGAATAAAAATCGTCTGAAGATTCTTATTTACAAGAAAAGAATGATCCCATGTGGAGTCCACTTAAGCAAAAAAAGAGTGTCAAATGCAATTAATGGCTATGTTATAAATACTCAACAACATTAAAGCCCCTAATAATCACAACCGAATCCAAAAACAAATATACACAAGCGAACAAAATGAGTCTGATAATGGGCTCAAAATGTAAAACAACGTGCATATTTTGTTGATGGTTCATTAACGTAAATAGTTGCCACCACCATCCTTATACCTCTCAAGCGACTAAGTGTTCCAATGAATGAGAGTTCTTCCCAATAAATAATAAATAATAAATAAAAAAATGGTCCAATCCACTACATGTCACAAGTCGTATAAGTGCCCTAAGAGACAAACGTTGATTGCTACGAGCAACTCGTGAATGTCTCAAGCAATAGTGTGCTCTCGTGTGAAATTGTATATTCTCAGAATTTTTTTTCCAATGAGACGAGCAATTTATTATTATGTTTCATGAGTTATATCCTCGTTTTAACAAACTTGTGCATGACGAGTCAAATCACTGAAAACAATTTTGTTCGTACGTGCTCCAACAAATATGTTGAAACATTCAAACTTAAAATCTGATAATGTTGCATGGACTAACTCAAAATGAATTTAATTTTACCACTCCGAGAAGTGCAATCATTTTGAGAAATTCAAATCGATTTCAAAATTCAAAAACTCAATGCATACAAACATCCTCAAGCGGGCCTTAAATTTGATTCTCTACATCATGCATATTGGAGTTGATAAAATTTGTGCATAATAAAGATATTTAAACTCTAATTCTTAGTCTAGTAAAACTAAATCATCATCAAATATGAAGAAAAATATGCTCCCTAACGAATCCCAGAAAAATTATTTTGTTAACCATTTACTTACAGCCTTACGGCCTTTTTACAAGGATTTATTTCAAAATATAAACTTTCAACACCATTATTCATGTATAACATGATATTGAGTTCAATTTGCATACTCAATTCTCTACACACAAATAATAGAATCAATATGGTTTATAATGCAATAACTTTTTGAATAAATCCAAATCATATATAAATTATAGAACTATTTTTTTACAGGAAAGCAACACAGTTAACAAAGTCCAATGAGGCGAAATACAATTGTTTAACTACCCTTACGATGGGCATGATCACTGCATATCACAGCCAAAGGGGATATATCTTCTAAAATCAAAATTTTGAAATACATAGACACACACACATGTAGAAACAGACACACGTGCATGCACACTAAAGTGAGTGTTCTCGTGGTAGATGCATGCAGGCATGCACGCAAGCACACAAATTACATACAGTAGGCAAACAGAGACACAATACATATAGGCAGACAAAGACTCTAACACACAAACACGCGTGCATACACAACTAACATATAGACATACACACATTACATATAGAAGCGCAAGTACAAACACAGACACGTGCACACACACACATGCACAAACGTATATTACATATATATGCATCATGCACGTGCACGTGCGCACACACACATGCACACATACATAAATACATTACATGTGTGCAAACATACATGCATACACACACAAACATATACATAAATATATACACAAATTCATACATAAATGCATACAAGCATAAAATATACATACAAAAACATACATACACACAGAAATACATACATACAATCATATATACAGAGACATATATATATGGACATTCACACACAAACACACATACATGCATCCATAGATATATACATAAAAAAACATACATACATGGACACATGCATACATATACATATATACATACATATATATGTATACCTATATGTGTGCTACTACTATGGGGGCACTCTTATGTGCGAATATTTTACAACCTCCTTCATTGTAATATTTCTTATAAAGCAAAATGGGAACACTTTAGACCCATTAGCTTAAGCTCTGTAATGTCAAAGATCATAAGCAAGATCATAGTGTAAAGGCTAAAGCAGCATCTCACTATCTTAATCTATCCAAATTAATCTACTTTCATCCAAGGAAGAGGTATAATAGATAATATTTTATTCGCACAAGAATTAATATGTAATCTTGACTAGAAATGCAGAGGGGGAAATCTTATTATCAAACTGGACTTAAGGAAAGCTTATGACACTATTAGCTGAAATTTTATACTTGAGGACAATAAATTTAGGGGCTTCAATTCAAAGTTTTGCAATTTTATCAAAGGTTGGTTGGAGGGCAACTATTATTAGGTGCTCCTTAACGGGCAAGCACATGGCTTTTCACTTCTGGTAGAGGCATAAAACAGGGGGATCCACTCTCACCTACTATCTTGATTCTAGTATTTGATAAGTTTTCAAGATTAATTAATTCCCTGCAGATTCTACGTCCCCATACTCAGTACAAAAATAAGACTAGAATGGGAGTTAGTCATTTGTCCTATGTTGATGATGTGATTATTTTTACTAATGCTTCCAAATACTCTATCAAAAATATATATCATACTCTTCTATAATTTCATAAAGCTTCTGTAATGGACTTTAATATTGAGAAATGCTATCTTTATTTTACGAAGCATGTGAATCGCGATATGAAGGCATGGGCACATAAATATACTAGCTTTACCATTGTTGATCTGCCCTTAAAATATATGGGGTTAATTTACTAAAAGGGAGGAGAAAACAAATGCAAATTGATGTTGTGGTGGATAAAATCAAAAGCAAAGTTGGAGATCAGACCAATTCTTTTTTATCCTTTGGGGGAAGTATTCCTTTGCTAAAAAGTGTGTTAACCTCTATTCCCTTATATGTGTTACAAGTGTTAAAGATCAAATCTAGCACAGCTAACACTTGAAAGGCTTCTTAATAATTTTTTTTTGGTCTAGAAATCATAAATAAAGAATTTGGGTCTGCTGGAAGGTGCTATGTAGGCCTTCAAATGCAGGGGGCTAGGATTTTGACAACTAAAGCATCTAGCTGAGGTCAATTCTATTTTTCTGTGGTTAAAATTTAGAAAAATTGAATCTCAATGGGTCAAATACATGCAAAGAAAATATTATAGAAAACTTCATCCATTGGAGATTAATTCCAAGATTGGTGATTTCAAAACTTGGAAAGGCATACTGAAAATCAGAAATACTGTTGAGAACTATATCCACTGGAAACTTGGGAATAGTAGCTTATAATTTTGGCATGATAAATGGTAAGAAGAAGATCTATCTATTTGATAAAAAAGATTTGACTGTGGCTGATTTTTACCTTGATGAAGGGTGGACCTTGGAGATGCTCAACAATATTTTAGGTAAGGATAAAGCTACTTATTTCTCTAAGCTTCCTTTTGATAAGTCCCAAAATGATAAAATTTTGTTGACTGATACTATCAATTGCTTTATTACTAAAACTATCAATTCAAACTTTACACTTAGGACAAAGTGAACTGGGGTGGTGTGATTTGGAAGAATAAATGTCTGACCCCTTTTCTTTTTTTTTTTTGTTGGATAGTTTTACTTGGTTTGGTTCCAATGGATGATACCCTTAAATTGAAGGGATTGAGAATCCCCTCCCAATGTTTGCTTTGCAAGTCAAAGGAGGAAAATGTACACCATGTGTTTCCTAGATGTGCCTACTCTATCAAAATTTGGACAGTTTTGGTAATCGGGCTGCTATTAAAACCCCTCCATTGGGTTGGGTGGATCTGTCATAGTGCAAGGAACATTGGTTTCATCCTATTCATAAACTGCATATATTTAACACCATTCCTTTTATCTGCATTTGGTTCATTTGGTTGGCTAGAAATTCCCACAACATGAGAATTGTTGCATTAAGCAGGATAGGGTGATTCCAAATATCCTATCTTATATACAAAAGTTGTTTATTTATCATAAATTTAAGCCATCTTTCTTTGCGAGCTGGGAGGATTGGCTAGGTTATAATATATCAGGCAAAAAGTTTTGTAAGGTCTCTCTTGTACGGTGGAAACAACCATCTTTAACCTGGATTAAGATAAATATTGATGGTAGTTGAAAGGCTGACTGTGCAAATGCAGGTGGGTCTACAGGTCTCATTCTGGTATACTATTATGCTTTTTTTCTTCACCCTGTATGGTTGTTTGTACTTTATCTGTAGAGTTATATGTTGTTTGGTTGGCCTTATCTGCTGCGGCTAAAATGAATTGGAGATTCTTACAATTTGAAATGGATTCAATTATTCTATTGGATGTATTGGCTAATGAAAAAGAACCTCCTTGGTATTTAAGTGTTGATTTATGCAGAGGACTATGTCACTTTCAGCAAATATTGTCATCACATGGAGCTACACGCCCATGAAACTAATAGCCTAGCAGATTTCCTTGCCAAATCTGCTACACACACTTAGGCTACAATCCTGAAAACCAGGCCCGATTCTGATCTTAGGCTGCTCCTATTGGGGGACAATCTCAATATGCTACCTTACACCGTTTTTCTAAGATGGGATGTCTAGTTATTGTTGTTTTTTTTCTTGTCTTCTTCTTTGCTTGAGTATAGCTATTTCCTTTGTTTTGGAGTATACTTGTATCAGTTTTGGAGACTTTTTGGGTGAGTTTGTACACCTAGAGGTTGGAACCCTAGGAATGAGTACTGTAAATTTTTTATTTGTAGTGAGATCCAATCTTCTAAAAACATGTAACTTTACTTTTAAGCAATAAAATGACCTAAGATTTCTTAATATATATATATATATATATATATATATATATATTAACAAAACCCGGAGATAATTTTATATCATCAAAAAAGGAGTACAAGGGTTGTGGAGGTGGATTCCCACTAATCAAAAGCAAAAGGATACAATAAGCACACTTAGGAGTTCCGCTACACACGATACAACTCCACACAAAAGAAAGATCTCCAAAATACAAGTATACGCCAAAATCATAGAAATCAATAACACCAAAAATTATCTTATAGTTGTTAATATGTAGCAGGTAATCCCAAAAGAATAGTAAGAAGAACCCAGATAGGCAGAAAACAAGAGATTCATATCTATAAAAAAGCCTGGGAGACCACAGTCCGAGCCAAGGAGTCATAACCACCAGCAGGAGACAGTCCAGCAGATTCATCCAAACAGGCACAATCCTCCAGGGAATAGGTAGAAAAATTGGGGCAAGACCAAAAAACCAACCTTTGTCAGCACTCCAAACCCGCATATAAGACTCCAAGCACCTCCAACCATGACAAGACAGATAGCCGGCAAAAAGGAAATTTTGTAGCATTAGAAAATAAGCAAAAGCAGAGAAAAGAAAATTGAAACAGCCCAGAAGATCCCAAAACAAACCCAAAGGCATGAAACAGGTAGTGAAAGTCCCCAGAAATCCATAGCCACCCAATAGCAAAGAAGTCCCATCCATCAAAGATCCACCTGAAAACAAACTAAAACACCTCCAAAAAAAGCATCATATCCCCAAAACCAGAACATTAAGATCCACCACAGCCAGTTAAGGAACAGAAGCACCCAAATAATGCAACACTACCCCACTACCAAAGCAGTAAGAAACCCCCAGCAGCTGGCCCAAATCAACCCAAGCTTCCCTAGCAATCAAACGTTGAAAAAATGAACGCACGCCAGACTCCTTAACTGTAGCCATCCGCTACAACTTGCTCGAGAAGGAGTCGAGAATTCAGCAGAGAAGATTACTGCATTAAGTAATTCACTCAATCATATCCATCCAATGGGTACTAAACTATTTGCTCTCAACTGATGGTGCTTAGGCCACTAGTGTCAAACTTGTCCATGGTAGAATCTCATAAGTGCGGAACTTCCTATCGGATTCTTCTTCACTCTACTACACAAGTCTAATCCGTCCTCGAAAGGAAGAGTGAACTTCACCAATCATTCCTATTGTTTTCACTAAATCTTTTTAAGGTATCTCATGGGAATATAAACAACGAAATGATCCTTCCAAAAAACACAAGGAATGAAAATAGATCTCATAAGAGTTCGTAAGAGTTAGAGGATGAATACTGTAAAAGATGTCAATAATATTTGCATAGCAAAATTTTATGATTACAAAGCAACATTAGAAAAAGAGAATCTTACCAATTGCTTGAAGATGTGGGCCAGTGCCCACATTCACCATTTTTTGCGGTGGCAATGGACCATTAGGATGAGTCCAGCGGTTAAATGAGCATTTAAACCAAACCTCTTCTTTCCCATTTAACACAGTGTTGAAGGGATTATACAAAACTCTAACCATCTTTCCAGCTTGAATATAAAGCGGCTCGGTATACACTACATGCTTCTGAGACAGCAAAAACCTTTTGAAAGTTCTTTCCTTTGTTTCAGCTTTCAAACGAGCTGTTTTCTCAGCCTGTAATAGCAAGAATACAAATACCTCATAAGATGCTTTTTACATAAATATAAGCGTAGTAGAAAATTCATGCAACATTTGAAGGAGGCTCGAATGAACAATTGATATAATTTCAAGGACCATAGTATCTAATGGACTGACCTTCTTACGTGCAGCCTCTTCTTTTAATCTTCTTTCCTCCCAAAGCTTCTTAAATATTCTATCTTCTTCTTCTAACCAAAAGATCTCTTTCTTCCGATAAACCCTTTGGTATAACAGCATGGAAATCCTGATAGCTGTTGTTATCATACACTTTTGCCTGCTGTGGTGGCCCATCAGCAAAAACCCAATCCAGAATAAGTGCTCCGTCGGGTAAAACCACTATAAATACAGAAATTAGCAATTACAAAGGCAAATAAATGGCATGAAATCATATTAAGCATATTAATTTAAAAAGATTTGGCAGTAACCAAGTGACAAAATTCACTATTAGGAGTTAACTAATCCATCCATGACAGTGATATTTCATTATGGAAGATGTTTTTAATTTAATGAGAACAAAGGAAGTGCTTTTAATTCTTATTTTCTTAATTGGTTTTCAGTCACTTATTCTGCTTCATTGTTCTTTCTCTTAATTTTGTAGTTTTATAGGTAATTTCTCTTTCATATTCATTAGAGGGGTTCGCACAATTTTCCAAAAACTAATAAAAAAAATTGAAGGGCTGTGATCTTATAGCAAGTAACCAGTGAAATGCTCATGTAGCTTTAGATTTATATTTGTTGTTTGCCATCAATTTATAGTACTCAAGATTCTCAAAATCAAATTAGACAAAAAACGGACCAAAGAAAAGATTTGGCAAGATTTGAATCGGATGACATAATAAATAATAAAATTATTTATATATTACTTTTTGTAGGTAAAAATGATGACGTGAAAAAATAAAGAGATTGTCATTATGATATATATATAAGTACTGTA